TTTGTCGTCAGATTTTGGATGCAATTTCTGTATAGGGATTTTCTGGCGTATGGTGCTGTATTGAAGTGAGAATGAGATTCCACGGGTAGCTTAACTTCTATAGCTTTAACTAATGTGTAATGAGATGTACATGTATGTGTGGCATATATTGTATAATAGTTGACCTGGGCCAAGACTTGTACAAGATGATAGTATATAATTTTAGTATGGTGATATATCTCAATGTCATACTATATTTGTGTTCTGTCCTATGAAGCACGGCCATCCCAAATACGACACCGACACCGACATGGCAATACTGATAATAATTTAAAAATAAATAAATTAAAGGTCATTATAAGTGTCAGTGTAGGTGTCAGTGTCTGACACGGACACACCATTTTTCAGAGGTGTCGGTGCTACATAGGTTTTGTCATGTTGGTGCACACATACTTCTCTGCGATGATGCTGTATTGAAGTGAATGAGATTCCATGGGTAGTTTAACTTCTGTAGCTTTAACTAATGTGTAATGAGATGTACATGTATGTGTGGCATATATTGTATAATAGTTGACCTGGGCCAGGACTGGTACAAGATGATAGTATATAATTTTAGTATGGTGATATATCTCAATGTCCTGCTATATTTGTGTTTTGTCCTATGAAGCATGGCCACCCCAAATACGTCACCGACACCGACATGACAACACCGATAATAATTTAAAAATAAATAAATTTAAGGTCACTATAAGTGTCGGTGTAGGTGTTAGTGTCTGACACGAACACCATTTTTTAGAGGTGTTGGTGCTACATAGGTTTTGTCATGTTGGTGCACACATACTTCTCTGCGTTGTTGTGCTGTTGGTAGGAGTTTTCTTTTTCATTGACTTGTAACGGTTTTGATTTGAGTACCTTTCTCATGAGTTATTTGCTTGACAAAAGCTGACTGGCTGCGATGTGTGGGCTAGTTAACCACGTGTCAATAAAAATAGTTGTTACTTGTGAGTTTTGAAATTGATGATCACAAATTTAAATAGGTGGTGGGGTTTGATGCTGAAGGTTTGTCTGATACTCACAATTTCAACTTATCAAAATACTAGATGAGAATGTCAGTAATCTGGGGCTGCTTCTATTCTGCTTTATCATAATATAATTATTATGGGTGTCTTATTTGTGTGTTCTGCTGTTATCTTCAATTCTGAGTGGGTTTTTCCGTGATGTTCGATGTTTCCACATGATATTTTACTTTATAATTGTTTGTTGAGTTTCTAGTTCATTTAATCTTGTTGCTTTGATGATAACTAAGTTTTTTTTTTCATCCTTCATTTGTCAATGAATGCAGCTGGAAATCATCTAAGCTTGGTTCCAACATCAGATATTATTAATTTTACAAGCAAACTTCTTTCAGAATCCCAAGCACCGATTCAGAGGGACACCCTGAAGATGCCAGCATTAATATTGGATGAGAAAGAGAAGATGGTTACAAAATTCATATCTAGTAATGGTCTGGTTGAAGATCCGCTGGCTATTGAGAAAGAAAGAGATATGATCAATCCTTGGACATCAGAAGAGAAAAAAATATTCTTGGAGAAATTTGCTGTGTTTGGAAAAGATTTCCGTAAAATTGCTTCTTTCTTTGATCACAAGACAACTGCAGACTGTGTTGAGTTCTACTACAAGAATCACAAATCTGAATGTTTTCAGAAATTGAAGATGAAAGATGTTGGTAAGCTAGGGAAGTCATATGCAGCTAGAGCTAACTTGATGGCATCAGGTATAACATGGAATCATGAAGTTAATGTTTCTTCACTTGATATTTTGAGTGCAGCTTCAGTGACGGCAGATGATATTGCAGGTAATAAAAGGATGCGAGCAGGAAGATTCCTTTTGGAAGGATTTGGTAATGTAAAAGCATCGAGGGCCGGGAGAAGCATTATAGAGAGATCAAATAGTCTGGACACTCTTGGGGATGAAAGGGAGACTGCTGCCGCAGCTGATGTATTGGCTGGTATATGTGGGTCACTTTCATCTGAGGCTATGAGCTCCTGCATAACAAGTTCAATTGGTCCTGTAGATGGCAACAAGGAAAGCAAATTCTTGGAAGTGAACCCTTTGTGCAAACAACCATTAATGCCTGATATTTCTCAGAATGCTGATGATGAGACTTGTTCAGATGAGAGCTGTGGGGAAGTAGATCTTTCTGGGTGGACAGATGATGAGAAGGCAGCTTTTCTTCAGGCTGTATCATCTTTTGGTAAGGACTTTGCGAAGATAGCACAGTGTGTAGGTACAAGGTCCCGTGAACATTGCAAAGTTTTCTTCAGCAAGACTCAAAAATGCCTTGGATTAAATCTGGTACGTCCCATACCTGGAGTTGTAGGATCCCCGCCAGGTGATGATGCAAATGGTGGTGAAAGTGACTCAGACGATGCATGTCTTGTTGAGACAGGCTCAGTGGTTGATGCTGATATATCTGGGAATAAAACAGACGAGGACCTACCTTCTGATGCGGTGAATACATTCCAGGATGATTCCAATCCTCTGGAAGCTAGGAGCCTGTCAGCTGAATTAAATGAATCAAGAGAAATCACTGGGACGGAAGTACATCTTGATAATGTAGATATGGCTTCCAATGTTTGTGCAATTAAGGTTGAATCTAAGTCGGGTTCTGATGATAGTGGACTTGGCTTGGGTAAAACTGACAAGTCTTGTTCAGTCAACGAACATCCTGCTAAAATTACATCAGATAGCATAGAAGTTGCCAAAGGCAAAGCAAATAAATTGGGAGATGCAGTTAGAGAATCAATTTCTACTGTAGGAATAATTAAACCATTGGAGTGTGGTTTTGTTGCTATGGGTACAACGGTTTCAGAGGGTTCTACTGGGGATCTCAGCAATGAAGTGGAAAGGGAAAGAGAGGCAGCACCCCCATGCTTTGGTGACAGGGATGATAAACATGAATCTGATGCCGGTGTTGTAGTTGAATCAAAAAGTTGTGTGTTAGAGTCGAGCACTACCGCAAATCTTTCATTCTCACATGTGGCCAATTCATGCTCAGGATTGAGCTTTGGTTCTGAAAATAAGCATGTCTCCTTTGAAAAGCCTTGTGCCTCAGCATTATCTTCAAACAATTCTCGGGCTACTACAAATTCATTGTTGCTAAACGCTGCCGCTGCTCCATGTGAAAAAGCAGTTAGCCAGGATAGATTGTCCTCTAATTGTGATTTTCAAAGAGGTAGAGATATGCGGTGTCATAGTTCTGGCAGCAATGTTGACCATCAGTTTCCTCTTCCATGCAATCAAGTTGAGACTGTTAGCATCCTCCAGGGCTATCCCATGAAGGTGCCTGTCAAGAAGGAAGTGGACAGGGATGTGAATTGCAACAGTTCAGCGACTGAGTTCCCTCTTCCCAAAAAGGTCCAACAGACGGATGATCATTTCAAAACATTATGGCATTCTTCTGATTCAGAAAAAACATCTAGAAATGGTAATGTGAAACTGTTTGGAAAGATTCTAACCAATCCTTCTTCCAATCAGAATACTAATTTGATTACGAAGGGAAGTGCAGAAAATAGTTCACATCATCCCAAGTCAAGCAACAGGTCTTCTAAACGGAAACTGACTAGCCATCAAAATTCTGATGGAAATTTGAAAATTTTGAAGTTTGACCATGCTGATTATCTTGGCCTTGAAAATGTTCCAGTGAGGAGTTATGGTTATTGGGAAGGGACTGGAATAATACAGACTGGTCTCCCATCATTGCCTGATTCTTCCCTCTTGTTAGCTAAATATCCTGCTGCCTTCAGCAACTATCCTACTCCATCTTCCAGTTTGGAGCAGCAACCATTGCAGCAGTTTGGTGCATCCACTTTTACTGCTAGAGACATCAATGGAAGCAATGCCATGCTTGACTATCCGATGTTTAGAAGTAGGGATGGTCCAAAAGTGCAGCCATTTATAGTAGATGCCAAGCAGCCATTTATAGTAGATGCCAAGCACAGCCAAGATGTATTCTCTGAGATGCATAGAAGAAACAGTTTTGAAGCAATATCTAGTTTGCAGCAGCATGGGATAGGAATGATGGGAATGAATGGCGTTGGAAGACCTGGGATTCTAGTGGGTGGGTCGTGCAGTGGTGTCTCGGATCCTGTGGCAGCAATCAAAATGCATTATTCTAATTCTGAAAATTATGGTGGTCAGAACGGGAGTATCTTGAGAGACGATGAATCTTGGGGAGGGAAAGGGGACATAGGCAGATAGTAGGTGTTTAGTGGCAAACTTGTCTTTTTTGCCGAGTCCTGTATAATAGTTTTTGTTTACTGCTCAATACAGTGTAGGAGGCTGATTTAATGGTTATGAAGCCTGTCTTTTTGGTAAAATATTAGGGGCTTGTAATGTGGAAGCAAGCAGCTTTGTATTTGTTGTATTTGATGAAAATACAGAAATAATCTCTGGAGGTTAGGAGGGGTGATTGCCATTACCATTTTGGTTTGGATTCCGTGCCCCCATTTTACATCTCATTCCTGGCTACTTGTATTGTACTGGAATACTGTATATGTCTTAATTTGGATGAATAGATTTAGTAGAGAAGAAAAGAGAGGTCGAAGAGAAACAGGGAAATCTAAATGATTAGAGAGATTGCGAGAGACTCACCTTAATAATTTGCATTAAAGTTAGGCGATAAGTATGCCGAAGACGGAGGAGCAGACAATGACTCAGTTTTTCCCACGCTGCATTCCTTTATTTTTTCAAGTGGCACACCAATAATTATTTAATCATATTTATAATTTTTCAACACTGTTGGATATGGCTGCTAGGTATAACTAGAATTTTAAAAAGAGGCTGCCCAAACACTTTTGCCTTGTCAAAATTAAGGCAAAATTCATTCGCATTTTGCTATAAAAGAAGATTCAACGTTTTTGCTTAAAAATGCTAGAGGGAAGGCCATTTGTCTTCGAAGTGTATAGCACCCATCTGCAATCTGCATAGCATCTTTTACCGGTCCTACCATAGTCAGCAATCTAAGCAGTTGTCTGCTGCACAATAGCTGTTTCTTTAGTTTCTTCATGTGTTTGGAGGATGGACGGAAGTGGTGCATTAATTTCGATTAACTGCAAGTACAAGAGAAACTATTTATTTTGGAAACAAAACCATTTTGGTAAACAAGACAGGTCATAATGATACGAATGCTTTTCAAGTACCTCACCAGTTATTGGATGGGAGAGAAACAACTTATGTGCATGCAGAGAATACCCACAATCTCCAGGAACTGGTTTGGCAGGCCTTGTATAACCCCTATACAATAAGCAGCAATAATGTCAAAACTTAGATCAAATCTAAATGAATAATATTTAACTACAGAGTATTGATCTGTCAAAAGGATTAACCGAATTAAAAAAATAATCCCAACACTACATATACGAAATTAATGCTCAAATTAACACCAACACTACATATGCGAAATTAATGCTCAAATTAACATAATCTTTTGTCTCTAACTGCAAGCTAAAACGGATATTAAAGAATTGCAAGTATTGAAAACTAAGTTTAAATTGAAATTATATGAGTCTCACATCGAAACATAATAAGGTCTTAGTGATTATAAACAGTAGGTATCACCGTCTTAAATCGGTCTTATGAGATTGAATTAAGGACATTCCAAATTCTAAGGGAGTTTAAGACAAGATAAGAGATAAATTTATAAACAAGTGTTCTTGCATTAAAAGTGGCAGTGAGAAGTCAAGACAGAAAGCAACTGGCAAATGTTCATTAACATGTTGACAAAGAAGAACACAATGCTTAACTGCTTATAAGTTTGCTTTGATTCCCCTTAAGTTTACTTCTTTACGATTAAATGATTACAAGGAAGAAATGGTAAAATATAAATACAGTGATTAAATGACTACAAGGAAGAAATGGTAAAATATAAATACAATGACGTACCCATCTTTAGCAAAACTCTCATCCACGAAGTCGAAATCCAAGCATTTTGGCTGCCCACCAACAGTATAAAGAGGATCACCTGCAGATAAACATACAGGAAAGATTTGTTTGGATAAATTGTAGGAAATTCGTACTTCCTTAGTAATTCAAGCTTTTTGAGTCAAACATGGAGTCATGCAAGACAAAAGAAAATAATGCAGGTGCTCCCATTGTGCAGATTACTCAGGATGCATTCAGTGATAGATTCATAACATTTAAGATGTCAAAGAAAACAGATGCTGCATAAACCATTTTCTCATCATATTTCGAAATGAGAATATGCAATCCTTTAGGTGTGTTGGGGCTACCTATATTTTGAAAGAGATAAAAGATTGAACCTCTCCTAGTTTTATAGTATCAAACTTTTAGAATAAATAGTATTAAGCATCCATGATATTCTTGCATCTCCTTATAATTTCTTTTTTAAAATTAAAATTGTTAAAAAATGAAATCTACTATATATGTTGCAAGATCTATTAAAATAGTTTTACTTCAATTTCAAAATTCAAGTAACCTTACAGTTAAACCTGAATGGTTGTTAACTTGTTAATGATTTTGCAGCAAAGAACTAACAAGAAAATTGCGATTTTGTACTAAATAGCATCACTGCAGTCCTCGTTAGACTCCTCTGCACAACAGTGCAATAGCACCACTGCAGTCCTCGTTTGACAATATTTTATACTAAATAACAAATTGTAAAACAATAAAAATCTGTTCAAATTTTACTACGCTAAATTACTATAGAGTTGCTATAGCCACTATCTAACAACACGGTATAAAATTCACAAAGCATAAATGTTAATTTCCAGTATTAAATATATTTACCTAACAAAGGATGCCCTATGAAAGAGAGATGAATGCGGATTTGATGTGGTCGTCCAGATTGAATCTTCACCTGTTAAAACATGCCAACAGAAAAATTAAAAAGGGTGTTATAATCATTACAATCCGAAATTTTACAAACACAATAGTTCTTTATAAGGTACTGAAGTTGATTTTAACATACAATCTTTCTGTTATTGTTATTCTAAACAATATTACCTTGTATTTTTAATTTTGTTAATCTAATTTCTAATTTCTTTTGGATTAATTCATGAAGAGACCACAGAACCAAATGATAAGATTTCAACTGATGTACTTCAAATTTACGAGGAGGCAACAAAGGCAACCCTTAAACAAAGAAGTTGAGGAGATAGAAGCCACCTAAGAGTTTGGATATGCAATTTTATGATAACTTTTTATTTCTTCTATTGTCTCTTAAGTCGTAAAGGGGTCATCAAGAGATGAAAAACAAGCAAAACTTTGGGTAGCCAAAAGTTTACATGTTGAAGTGGAAGTGCAGGTTGATAGGACATCTAAGAACATTGAACAATATCGGATGACACAGCAGTGCCGCACATTTTCTAATTAAAACAATGGTTGATAACTTCATAGGATGTTTATATTATTACATACAGAATGATGATTTATTTATTTCATTGATGTTTTTATTCATAAATAGTGGTAAGTAGTAGATGTTTTATTCATAAGAAGGAACATGCAGTCTTGAACAAATTGGCAACCTGTACTAATGTGCTATTTTCTTTTACATTCCTTTCTAGAATGTCCACTACACTGAGTGCTGGTTTCCCTGGTTCAATTCAAACAACTATGCATGAGTGAAAAAAAGATAGAGAGCGGTTATATGAGCATGGCTCCTTTGAGACTCATCCATCTGGATAAATATACGTAATGATTAATAATAACCTGAATGAGAAGCAACATATAGCCCTTTAGCAACACCGGGATATTTTACAATTCCAATTGGTTGATTAATAGTCACCTGTGAAGAAAAATAATATTCTAGTTATCACGCGATGTCAATAGAAGCAGCCATCTTTTAGTTATACAAGCATATGCGACGATACACGCTATGAGGGGAGCCTTGGCAACAATTATATTTTCTGATGTCTTATCATTTTTATTTGAAGTGGATGCAGTAAAAAATCATTGCTATACAATACCAATAAAACAAGAAAAAATATAGGTATATATATTATTACCGTGTCATTATCAATTATCCCACTCACAAGTGCTCGGTATATCTTTGCAATCTTTCCCGGCTCTTGGTTTGTATCTCTGCTTTGGTAAATAACAGAATAAAATGAGTGAAACAGCATATAATTGATTATAAAATCTTAATTTTAAAACCTTAAAGATATTACTTTTTTCCTGTATTCTATTTAGATGAACAACTGGATCCAATTTGAAGAGTAAATTAACAAGATACAACAAACCAAAAAAGTGGTTCTTTCCTAACCTTTTTCCTCCTAGGCGAGATGTTCCATCAGCAAAATAAGATGCAAGATTAGCTCTGGCTAGTTTTGTCTTTGCACATAATAAAATTCCTGTGATGCAATCAACCAATTGTGAAAGCATTAGAAAGTTCCATACATTAGTTTGTTATTATAGATTAGAATTTAGAAGGGCATAAAAAGAAAATATTCTACTCATAGTATGACATGTTCAGTAGCGATGTTGATAACTATATAAATATCACTGATTTAAAACCACTTTTAAGATAAACAATCAATCGTGAAAATAGTGATTACTAGCTTTAACTTTTTTTACAGGCACTGCGGTTAACTATATAAAAACAATTTTCCTCTCATAGAATTCAGAAACTCACCTCAGTTGATGCATGTAACATTTTCAAAGCAAATAAAGCAACAAACATAATGTAATCGTTTTAAATTTTAACAGAAATAATCAGCACAACCTGAAGTTCCCCTCCCTAGACGATGCACGGGAACAGGCTGAGGCTTTTGGTGTACTTGAGAGGTACTTTCATTGCTTGTTTCCCATTGAAGCTGTGTTAAAACTGTTCTTTGCTGGAAGAGACCTCCAGGCAGAACTTGCAGGCTAGAAGGCTTATTTAGAGCTATCTGAATTCACAATCAACATCACAATTAGTAAAACAAGTATCAAAGACACTTTAATTGTTCATACATGCAACAAAATAGATTGATTGAGGGAAGGAAAATAATAGATATCTTAGTCTGAGGATAATCAATAGTACTGTTAAAGAATCACAAAAAGCATTCAACTAGAACACAAAAAATGTATAAATCTAGCCAAGACGCAACTCTGTATCAATCTGTTTCCAAACACGGATATGGAAATAAATTTGCGAGACACGCAAAATGGTATAATTACACAAAGTAAAGCTTACAATATCATCATCTTCATACAAGACTTCTATGGTGTGCGGTGCATCGGGTTCTTTCCACGGAAGTCTGCTATAGACTAGCTTTGAGCCAATTCTAGTATGATCATGTCATAAAATATGATATAATGGAATAAAATAAAACACCTAAAATTGTAATAAAGCCATGATGAATATTTTTTCAAAAATATAACCACCTGAGCAGTGTGTTTGGATCAGTAACAATTTCTTCATCAACTGTAATCTGTAGATAAAATATTGATTAATAATTATAATCTATAATTTTATTCCATATATAGTACAATTAAACTAACTAGTTGATGAATTATGATAAAACCTGGTCATTTTTTATACGCTGCAACCAACTGTTACAAAAATCAGTACATAACTTACCAATTAATAAGTAATAATAGTAAGAGCATTTATTTAGGTCATAGCTTAAAGTTTGAATTTTTGGATTACCCTTGTAATGGAGCTGAACTTTTGTATTTGTTGGAGTAAAATTCAATTAGTGTCGAACCTGAATGAATATAAATCAAATGCCGTTAATATTAGCAAGAAGAAGAAGAAAAGAGAAAGGGGGGTTTGGTGAACGAACCAGCGTCGGAGGGTCGAACGACGTCGTGATAGGAAAGACCGTCGTTGAATTCAGGCCAAGGAGTTCCGATTTTCTTTGGGTTCGCCATTCTCAACTTCTATCTCGCTTATTAGGTTTTAATCTTAACTTTTAAATTTTGATAAGTGTGATTATTGGTTTAATATGCCTCAAAAATTAAGTTTTAAAAGTAAGAAGTTTAGTGAAAATTTAAATGATTTAGTAGAATGTGTAATTTTATTCTCAATTGTTTGAAATTTCTTGATGAGAAAAGTCTGTCCGAAAATAAAATCATTCAAATATGGTGATTTTAATGCAAAGTTCATGCAATTTTGAAATCAAAATCATTTTTGGAATGATATTATTGATGAATAGCAAATGAATCACTTGTCAAAACACGATGATTTAGACATTCAAGAATGAAAGAGAAAGTAAAGGTATGACATCAAAGCAAATGATTGACAACAATCTTAGGAGTAAATTTATGCAACCTTGCTGCAATATGCTTTCAAAAGAAACCTGACTTCAATTAGGTCTTTTTGAGGGTTGTAACATGGTCAGGCTCACGGCTTTCGAAGCAAAGGATGTAGGCTCAAAGTTTATTTGTACCTAACACATTCTTCGTGATGATCTTCAATCCTATGTTCAGTTAATTCAACCTATGCATTCAGGTTCCAAGCAATTTTGGAATTGCAACACATTTATGATGATGACTCAAGAGCCAAGAGATTTTTGAGATGGCAGTTACTTTTTCTTACAACATTTTATTGTTTTTGATGAGGAACTCAGTCAACTCGTTTTGTATTTGAGGATTTTGGTAATCTCTCGATTGATTTTTCTTTTGTTATCCCTAAATTTTGCCTGAATTGTGTCATTTGAGCTTACAGTCAGCGAGATGCTTCAACTTTTGCCTAAGTCTCCTTCATAGGTTTTAACTTAGCGGATTTTTCTTTTGATTTTTTTTCTTCTTTTTTTGAAAGATAGCGACTGTCTGGCTTAATGATTACAGTGAACCATCATTGGCTTTTGATTTGAAAGACATCTTCAACACTTCTTTGATGTATACGAAGGAAAGCTTACGATTGTAACCTTTATTGGAAGGTGTCTTGAATGATTCTCTTGTGTTTAAATGCATAGTCAAATTAACTGAGAACTACTCATCCCCAAGTTAAAATTGCGAGTTTTTTTCATACAGAAAGAAACTTCAACTTCTAGGCTCAAAGGGGTTGACAAGGGATTAACTTCCTTATTTCTCCAGTGTTTAGAAGTTAAAACAATACATGTACATCATCAGCCAAGTTTTAATTGAAAGCAAACAATTTAGCAATTATGGGTATTTCATTTTCATCATCCTCCCTCCAATCTTTGCATAAAAAAAAGCTTGATAAAGAAAGTGAATATGAGATATATATTTGTTTTGTGAAAGAGAAAGCATAAAGATGCACACAGTGGATGTAAATAAATTGAATCAAAACATTGCAATGCTCATTTCATTAAAAAGTAACCATGGAAGTACAAACAAAGTTTGAGAGAAAACAATCAATACAATAAAAGAAAATGTAAACAGAAAGAAACACGACCTAGTGACTAATCAGCAACAAGGATGAGTTGTCTTGTCTGAAACACTGACTTTAGGAGATAATCTGTTTGAACTGACTCAAACTTCACTTGGCATGCTCTGGAAAAGGATTGTTGACAACATTGGGATTGGTATCATGAAAGGTGAGGATCTTGTCTCTGACCAGTTCTTGTACTCTAGTTTTCAATGCATAGCAACCTTCCAAGTTATGGCCTCCCCACCTTGATGAAATTCACAATGAAGATCAGCCCTATAGCTGGCTGGGAAAGGATTTGGAGGATGAGGTAAAGCCCTGGTTATAATCAAACCTTTCTAAACAAGACCTGGATATAGCTTAGTGTAGGATATCAGAATAGGATCAAAGTTAGCCCTATTGCAATTCTGATTTTGTCTAACAGCCTAACGAGGAACTTGAACTGGTTGAGCATCGACAACAGGAGCAAATGCAGCTAGATATGGTTTACCATATTGTTGTTGCCTGCGATGAGGTTTCCTTTCAACTGAAACAACATGGGTATCGCCATCCTTCTTCTTTTGAAAATTCCCAGTGGACTTTCTTGCAGCATTAAAGGCTTCAACATTGGTAATCTTTCCCTTCTTGATACCCTCTTTCAGTATTTCTCTAATAGTGACTAGGTCAGCAAAACCAGATGATACACTGCCTATCATCTTTTCCCACAAGAGTGGCTGAAGAGTGTCCATGAACAATCCATTCAATTCCTTTTCTACCAAGGGTGGCTCCACCTGAGCAACTAGCTCTCTTCAATGTTGAGCGTACTCCTTAAAGGATTATTTTTCTTTCTAAGACATGTTCTGCAGTTGAAGGCGACCAGGTGCCATGTCCAGGTTCTACTTATATTGCTTTAAGAAAGCATCTGCCAAGTCTTTCCAGCTTTGGATACGGTTCCTCTCAAGTCCCATATACTATTTCAGTGAAGCCTCACTTAAGCTGTCTTGGAAACAGTGAATGAGCAGTTTGTCGTTGTTGGTATAGGCAACCATCTTGCAGTAGTACATCACCAAGTGACTTCTGGGATAATGTGCCGCTTGTATTTCTCAAATTCAAGAGTTTTGAATTTGGCAGGCATAACCAAGTCTGAAACTAAGCACATGTCCATTGTGGCAGCACCAAAGACATCACTTTCTTTCACGACTCTTATCCTTTTATCCAGAGTTTTCCATTGCTCTATGACTTCCTCAATATATCCAATTCTCCCCGACTTTCGGATTGTGGACCAGCAACATGGTACATAAAAGGAGGATTTTCAAAAGTAGCTTGAGCAACAATATGCATAATAGGCCAGGGTTTAGTCAACAACGGAGCTGAAGATACTGGCAGTACAGATGGGCCAACCATTGGAGTAGTTACAAAGGTTGGCGAGTAATTCAGAGGTAACCCAAATTCTAGCCATGCATAAGCTAGTTGCTGGGTCAGTGGAGGGTTAATAGTAACAATTGAGATTTCAGATATCACAGTCCTATGATGTGATTCTCCTCTAGCAATCAAAACTTGCATCATTTATGTGAGCTTGGTCATGCTGGTCTTAAAATTATCAATTTCCATTCTAACTTCTGTATTGTGTTGTTCTTGATTTTCCATTCTCAATTTGATGACAGCTCTAGTTCCATAGTTGTGTTGAGGAAATAGTTTGACGGTGAACATAAAATTGAAGAATGAGACAGTTGAAATGAGTTCGCTGGCAACTTGAAGGAATGCATATGTATTCTCATGAATGCAAAAGTGCATGGATGTCATAGACACAAACAAGATCACACAAAGCACACGGGTCAAAGGTTCGGCGCGAGCATAGGGCCGAAGGTAAGAACCAACCCACAATGGTATGTACTAAGGTTATATCAGCACCTGTGGAACATGGCTCTAAAAAATTCCCAGAGTCATAATTCCATCTTTTGGATATTATCGGCTTAAACGACTACTCGTCGGCCAATAATATTCTTAAGGGAAACTCGTCTGAGTGTGGTATCGCGTAACAACTAGTTCAATTCTACACCTGAATAGCCACCACACTACATCCTAATACGAATACTTGTATGACATCAGTAATCCCAAAGGGGCCTCCACTGAGCGGGGGATCTCAAGTCAGCTTAGTAAGGACTACTCCATGTAAACCGAATAAGACTATACCACACTTCTATCATAAGTGAACTCAAGTCCGGGTATAAGACTTATCTCACCACACATATCACCAAGCACCCAAATAGAACAAGCAATAACAAACAAATCAAACAAACAAGAGCAAATAAATTAAAGTAGGCTAAACCCACTAAGAACCAGAGATCCCTAGCAGAGACGCCACTTTTCTGTAGCGGAAAAAATCATGAGTGTAAGATATTGATTAACTTAACTTGAAATGCAAGAGTCTCCACCGCACTTTTATTTTTATCCAAAAGGAAAGGAAAAAGAGCGAACAAAACCTAAGCAAGTTCTAAGGCAAGAACAGATGAACAGAGACTGGGTAAGAGGGTTGGTTATGCAAAGGGAATGTGTTAGCACCCAAAACGTCTATAGTACTCTATAGGAACCCTTTGAAATATCTACTCTTTTTGGTTTGAAAAAGGTTTGTTTGAAATGAGATTGAAGAGATGAGAAGAGAAGTATTTTAAAGATTTTTGTGTTTGGAGAGACTTGTCGCCTCATGCCTATGTACCCACAAAGTGCAATATAAGATCAAAACCCTGTAGTTCGTGGTACAAATAACAACATAGGTTTGTTATGGTTGATTTTAAATATAAAGACAAGTCATCATTTCTAAGCGAATAATTTCGCTTAAAGAGATGACTCATGTCTAAACTTATGGAAAAGTTTTAAAAGAAAAAGTGCATAAGGCATAAAAGGTTTGAATGAGTTTGAATGCTTTTTATGTCTTTTTGAAAAGCGTCAAAGTATGATTAAAATTGATTGACATTTATTAAAGAAAAGGAAGTTTGAAAAATCTCTTGACAAAAGTCAAGGTTTTATTGTGAAAGAGGTTATAGTTTTAAAAACAAGAAGGTTTTGAAAAAGGGAGGAGATTTTGAAAATTGAAGAAGGGGTGAAGAAGAAGTGACTATCCTAAATAAAAAAAGATAGAAGCTAAGGATAAGAAAAGTCTAACCACACAAGTAAGCTTCACAATATAAACATTCTTTCTTTAGATTAGGCATTGATCAAAATAGGTCTTCAAATGAGAACTTCAAGTACCCAAACATCCAAAGTTTAACATTACAAGCTTCCAAGCATAGGTTAAGATCTTAATTCTAGTTCCAAAACTCCATGACCAATGTAAAGGATAGTAACCATAGTCCACCATTAAGAGAACAAGTTTCTTTTAGGGGTTTAAACCTTTATTAATGTTTTTGGTTCTTAATAAAGGTTCATTTAGATAAGGGATTTATTATTAGTAACTAGAACAAAATAAATTGATTAATATGAAATGAGTTGTGATTAATTTTTAAAAAAAACAGGGTTAACAAATTATTAAATAAAAGGTTGTGTTAGAAAAAAGTTTTAT